AGAAATCACCATTTCAGCCTCCCTTCTCTTTAGCCGGCAATACTATTTTCTTCGAACTGCTATGTGGCTATTGATCCCATCCCCTTATCGCTGTTTATGTAAATCGATAAGTATTACGAGGACATACTTAAATCAGCAGTGTCTCCTAGCAGCAATGTGGCACTTATATACTACACTCTCGGGCCATCATAATTTTACGGCAATCCCAATGTGCTTCAGCGTTAGTCCTCAGTTATCTTCACACTTCATGCCCTTTCATAATTTCTTCTTTACTGTCTATACCACAGTTTGCTAGGTTGTCCTGAAAACCCCTACCAGGCCTGCGGCGGATAGCTTATTAATTTTTAAACAGTTATCACTTTTATTTGGGAAGAAGGTTGAGAATTATTTCAAGAGAAGAGCTAAGTTTCCTTCTTTCAATTGCTGACTTTCAGGCATTGCTATAAAAGATAGGCCGGCGAAACGCATTTCATTGTAGCGGAAGTTAAATTTGTGCTTGCTTAGTCCAAATCTTACATGCCCTCCCGACATACGGCAGCTTACAAGCTAAAGGACAATCACAAAAATAGTCGTACGTTAAATCTTTATTAATTTTTCCTATTTTCTCCTCCTATCTCATTTTCCTACACCGGTGTCAGATATTTGAGGCCTTAAAAATTTGACCTGCCGTACAGTCGTTATTTTAATTGACGGTTTTTGATAAACCAATTAGTTCTGAACTAATTGATGATATTTTGTAAATTAAATCATACCACCTTTTAAGATTTTTGGTTTCCTTAACGCAGATAAACTTTCGAGTGCGTTGGGTAAAAGTTTTGCATGCTACAAGGGTTTTTATGCGAAGTTGATGATTTTGCATAGGTTTCTGTCGGCACTGTAGGACAACTGCAGATAAGAATGCGTTTCGGGAAGACGGTTAACTCGAGTTTTAACTAATTAAATGGTTTTTGCAACGTCGCTGACAGTCTGCATAATTGTCATCGACTGGAATTTGTTCAATGTTTGGCCAGCGGGTTTCCTGAAATTTTTCGTTCATCCTGCGTGTTTACTCTTGTTTTTTATTTTCTCGTGCTCACGTCGCCTCTAAACTTTCTGTTTTACATAATCGCCAGAGGCAATGAATGTCATGCTTTTCTGCTCTGGATTGTGGACAAAGAAATCTGTTGAACGAACGAATAAGTTCTTTTTTAAAGGTTTTAAGCAGTTAAAATTTTTGTGTGTGTTTACATAGGAAACGTTCAGTTGAACTATTCTCTAATGGTAAAGATACCGCTTGAAAAACCTTCACATGTGAAGGTGAAAAAGAACCGCTGTCCCTTCTTGAAAAATAAATTTTATCTACAATAAAGAAGAATTCGAAACATGCCCCCTTCAAACGTGCTTCTCTGCTTTAATACAACGTCCTATAATATTCCAGAAAAAAGCTTGAAAAAAGTTTTTTTTAATAGCCGTTCTGCTGAAATGGACGAAAAATACTTCAAGAAACAAGTGTATTATGCGGTCATTTAATTAGGAAAACTAGCGTGTATTACCGAAGTGGACGGTAGTTAGAATTTCCTCGCAAAAAACTTCCTCATTAGGTTCATTTTAGGAAAGGTATATACACAAAGCCTTATTAGCACCAAAATCTTTCGTTGCTGTCTGTTAACCCTTATCACCAAATCTGCTATGGGTACTTGCTTCACACGCAAAACTATGTCTTCTTCTCAAAGCTAAGTCAGCATTTTTTCAAATTATTACTCCAATATGTAAGGCGTTATCAGGAAAATATATACAATCTGCGCCATTCCGAATCCGGTACTGTGTTAAAATGGATAAGGCCTTATCCGTTACAGCCGCAAACGTATTTCTGCATATGTTTTGATGGTATCGTTCGGCGCTTAAAATATGAAACTGTTTGTTTTGAATAATTCTTGCTAGGTTACATTGCAAAATTCATCCCAAATTTTGATTGAATGCCTATTGCATCTCTACCCATCTACCACTCAGTAGTCTTACTTCGGATTTACCTGTAGTACACCACGAAAATCAAACAGCCCACAGCAAGAAGGGGTGCCTTTTTCTATTATCTTTTATTAGTTATGTCTCTGATGAATGATCCACGGTGGGTTAAGAAACGTCAGATGAATAAAGTCTCGTCCTAGCAATCACATCTTATTTTTTCTCTTTTTCTTATACTTCTTCTTCTCCTCAGTTAAAAACAACTTTTTTTTAGTTTATAATTTACACCAAGTATTTAGCCTTTGGGATTTTCCAGGAGCATTGTCAAATTTCTAATGTTTTCCCTCCTCTGCTCCTATTTTTACTGAATACTTTTTATATTCCTACAACGTCCAGTTTTAGAACAATATATGCGTGTCTTACCTTCTAGTGGCATACCACTAAAATATCAATTCCAAAATTTCTGTTTCATTTAGAACGACACTGAATGATTTCTTTTTACGATGAGCACTTTCGAAAATTTTGCTCCATGCTTTTGAGGTCGACGTTAGGTGTTCTCGTAAAAGCTTCTTTAATTATAAGGTCAATAATTTAAGGCTACCAATAAAAGCGAGCATGCGAGTCCCAGGAAGTAATTGAGAAGATTCCATCACTGAGACAACATTCTTATGCGCCTGACAATTTGACATCCTTCGCAGATTCCTCATAAGAAACATCAGCAGCAAACAGCAGCGGAAGCGGGCTATACATGCGCAGAAAATTGCAGTATTTATAGGATACAGTCAAAAATGTTCTAAGTATGAGCTTTTGTACAATTGTGAGGTGTTTATTCATAAAACATCGTATCTGTCAATTTGTTGATGCTGTCTATACTGCATAAAATATGTTCCACATCTGTTTCAATATCTTAGGACAACTATGTAACTTCTTCCTCAAACTGTAGGCAAAACGTACTTTTCCTTAAACAGGATGAACACAGTGCGCACTTTTTAAACCTTCGAGTGTAGCAGCCATTAGTTTAGAAAATTATTCGGCAATTGAGCAACTTTCTTAAAACCGAAAGCTTCTCTTTCTTTGTTTATAAAATTTAAAGAAGATGTAATTTTCTATCAAACAAGTACAAGAAATAACTTTTTCGTGCAGGTTTTCCATAAAATATATTTGAATTTATAAAGGCAGTCAAAATATATGATAAAAAGGCATACTACTTAAGAAGCCAGTTTTTACAATTTATACGTTTTTCTGGTGGTCAGAACGAAGCTTGTTAAGAAGCCCGCATCCTATCATGACTGAAATGCATTCAGAATTGACTACACGACAATCAGTATCACAACTTGAGTCAATGCCGATTAGCGAAAGAATTTCAATCTTTCGCATATGTCGGCATGTTACGTGATCTTCGGCGACTATTGTACTTTCCAGTGTTTCTGATAGTGTTGAAAACGCATGAGCATTGTTCTTTAACCACTATGACACCTACATGAACTACGAATTCTAAGTTTCGATGAAAAGCACAGTCCCCTGTGTCCAGTCATGCAGCAGGTAAAGATTTGGCAGTATACTGGTATTGGACATTTTTAACAGAAAATCTCTCTGTAAACAGAGAAATTAAATAAAATGGCACCGTGAGCTATGATAAAAAATAATAAATGCTGTTTAGCTTTAAATCATAAAAACAATACAATTAACTTTTGGAGACCTCCCTTTTCCGCGACACAGAAGTTCAATTCCTGCGGCTGAGAGTTTAGAGCACAAAGCTGCTAGCTGCGACTCTTTCATATATTGAAAATGGATCCATTAAGTAATTATGTGACAGAACTGCTGGCCCATTCCTCTTTAGAACACCAGGACTGTGGAATCAAAATATTTTAGTGTGAGCTCCATTAGGTGATAAGGATAGAGACAATTTAACACAAAGAGCTTACGTTTACATTTTTCAAAGTCCGATTGCACATTCCAGTAAAATAAATAAAAAAAATCGCCCTGGAAAGGGCAAGCGCGAGATTATGGACCTTTTGTGGTTTTTAGTGTCAACATTTATTGAATCATTTGTTCCTTTGAACCACAAAGATGAGATTACCTGCGCACGACGTTAACACCGTTTTGAGGGATTAACTTTTCGCCTAAGTCTTGCAGCCCTTGTGCTGTCCCATTGTGCAGTTTTCGGCCGTTATGTATCGCTTGTAATCTTCCAATGTTACCTCTTTTGCCTACCCATACATGAAGGCCATTTTTCTGAATACTTTTAATTTTCTAAATAAAGCGTATCTCTCTGTCCCTTTTTGACAGACGGATGTTTGTCGATTACAATCTTCAGTGAACGTTTTCAACGAAGCAGACAAGCCATACATGTACACGTCCATAAGTTGTCAAATTATACTGTTTTTATACCTACCCCAGAATATGTGTACCTTAATGCGGCTAGTTAAAGTTATACATGGTGACTATTAAAGGTTTTTCCCTACCGAATGATACTTTATGGCTGAAGAAGTCTAGCAAGTTCCTAAGCAGACTATGACACGGCGGCGACGTGATTAAAGCGACAAGGTATATTTCAGTTAAGGCTCCTTGGCATCGACATGCATCAGTGATAATAACACACGTACAAAAATATTTTGAGATGAAAACTTCGACATGTTGAACTTCTTTAATGATGTGAAACAATTAATACCCCCCTCCCCACCGACTGTCCATATTGGAGAAGCGACTTACTTTAGCGGAAATAAATTTAAACTATCTTGTTAAAAAACCATTTGGGTACGATTAACAAAAAAACACTGTAGGTCAATGATAACGTTGATTTATTGAATGACAGGGGTCAAAATACCGGGGTGGGACACTTCATAATTACAATCAATAAGAGGATGTTGGAGACCTCTACTTTCCGAAACTAAGCAGGCGATGCGATGATGGTCTACTGTCGCTGAGCATTTTTCGTAGAAGTGCCAAGTCGCTGTTGAAGGAGAAGTCAGTAGGCACCCGAGCTGATCTGTAGAAGCCCGCGCTTGGACCGCCGTCATCGTACAACTCCTCCGCCAGTGAACCCTTGAGGTCGGGTAGATGCCGTGGAAGTGCCTGCACGCAAACTACCGACACAAGAAGGACTGAAAGCAGGGCGTACTTGAGGCCTGTCATCTTGAAAATCACCATACAATTTATTGCTCTGAGGTGATTGACTCGCTTTCTCGCGTCTATTTATACGTACTTTACGGACGCTGAGTCTAACCAATCATAAAATAGCATCAAATAACTGTGCTCATTGGAGGAGGTTAAATTGAATTTGACTTAAACTCATCTCATTCGTTCTCAACGTTAACGGGACTATTCAATCACTATGAAGAAGTGGGCATTCAAAGGAGTAGATAGGCGCAATTTCATAAAGAATTTTAAATTCGGACAGGTTGCCTAAATCCAGGTTGCTGGATGGGTTTAAACCAAATAAAATAGTTTACTTAAACGTTTTCCGTTAATTACCTTATACCTCAATCAAATTTTGTAATATTTTGATGCGAAAACAAGGATGGTAAAATTAGCGAATAGGGATGGCGATAAAATAGATCAAATTTTAATTGTGTGTCAAATTTGCTGTAGTGAGAAATATGTGTCAAGTACCGTTGGGACGGAGTCGTTGGGGTCGACCCAATTCCTTTCTCTTCCCTCTGAAAAGTCACCCGTTTTCTGTCCGGCTGGTTCGGCCATCTAATTCAGAGATTGGGCGCAGTGATTGACAAATTCAATAGCCAATTTATGCGTGCCACACATAACCCTGTTGCCCAGGGCTCTCTAAAAAAGGTGGGAAGTTCGGATCTCACATGCGTAGGAGTGCCATAGAGGCTAAAGTAAAAAAAAGAATACATTGGGCCTGACTCTTGATTCCATCGGCCCGATTTTACTGGGAAGGAATACTAATTCAAGTGATAGTTATGATCTGTACTTCAAATTTTAGTGGCAAACGTTTTTCGAACCATCTAATCATATTTTAAAAATAATTATTGAAAGGAACATAGAAGAACCAAGTTAAAGTATTTAAGAGTAAATAAATACACTTACGATACTGCCAAAAACAAGAGGACTTGGAAAAACCTATCTCTCCTGACTGCGCCTATCATTCCATCAGACCGCAATCTCAAAATCTGTACTTTCGACATTAATTGTGTCTTACGATACCCCTTATATACCTCCAATTAATAATGAAATTAATTAACATTTGCATGTATTTGCATGGAAGTCAGGAAATAATGTTGTTGGATAAATCTAATGTTGCAAATGAAAGCAAAATACATTCTTTCGTAAAAAAATTATAAAACAATTTATCCTCCGCTATGTGAAATGAAGTTATTTCCTGAAAATTTACTTGATTTGGCAGCCCTAGCAAAATAACGCCTTTTGCGGGTAGTTTCATTTTAAAGTTCTCAGTGATTCTTATTGCATTCCCGGTATCCTTATGAGAAAAGAAGCAGTGCGGCGGTTTTCTAATATCCTTGGGTTCTTTTCTGTTCATAATGAAATCACATACAGTGGTCGTCGTTGACCACGTAATCTTCCTTAATTTGTATAAGTTTGATCATTACTCCAATACCAGTGTGAATGTATGAGGAAAATTTGTCTAGGTTTGATCATTACTCCAATACCAGTGTGAATGTATTTAGGAAAACATAGTAAATTTGATCATTACTCCAATACCAGTGTGAATGTATTTAGGAAAACATAGAAATTATCATTACTCCAATACCAGTGTGAATGTATTTAGGAAAACATAGAAATAATATTGAACGGCATAAGGCCTATTAAGTACTTAAAATAACTATAGGAATTACTTAGTGTTTGTGAAGGAATACAAAATTTTCTCGATAACGTAGTGGTTCTAGAGACGTAAAAAAGAGCTCTAAATTAGAACAATAAATTTAGATATTGTTCGAGAGACGTCAAAAAGAGCTCTAAATTAGAACAATAAATTTAGATATTGTGTTCTAGAGACGTCAAAAAGAGCTCTAAATTAGAACAATTAATTTAGATATTGTGTTAACAAAACTTGAAGCAACCACTTTCTATATAATAAAAGAATTTCTCTTTACTCAAGTAAAAAAGAGCTCTAAATTAGAACAATAAATTTAGATATTGTGTTAAGTCAAAACTTGAAGCAACCACTTTCTATATAATAAAAGAATTTCTCTTTACTCAAGTAAAAAAGAGCTCTAAATTAGAACAATAAATTTAGATATTGTGTTAAGTTGAGCAAAAAAGAGCTCTAAATTAGAACAATAAATTTAGATATTGTGTTAAGTTGAAGAGACGTAAAAAGGGCTCTAAATTAGAACAATAAATTTAGATATTGTGTTAAGTTGAAAGTAAAAAAGAGCTCTAAATTAGAACAATTAATTTAGATATTGTGTTAAGTTGAAAACTTTGAAGAACCACCTACTATATAATAAAAGAATTTCTGGATAAGTGAAGTAAGTTGCATTCCGAGACTATATAATAAAAGACTCTTTCTTTACTCAAAATATTCTGTAAAGTCTTTT